GCCCCGGGGGAAATGGGGCTGGAGGCGATGGGAAGAGCTGGAGGGTCCCCAAAGGGCGGCAGGTTGGGATCTCTGCATGTGGAGATGGACACGTGCCTGAGCTCTGCTGTCACCGCAGGGAAAAGCTGCCGGGATCCCTCAGGGATGAGGGGTTTTCCACTGGGAAGTTTTGTTTCCTTTTGTTTTCCTAAAAAGCAAAGTTTTCCCTCTGCTCCCACCCTGGATATCGGCGTGGGGGCAGAGCTGTGGCCTCTCTGCCCTTCCCACCCTGCTGGCCTCGCCCATGGCTCCAGCTCAGAGCCAGCTGAGCTGTGGGTGAAAGATTGGGATTGTTTCTCCTGCTGCCATAAAAACACCGATTACAACTGGAACAGGGCCACCCAAATCCTGCCCTGCCACCAGCAGCGAGGGGAGGGGCAGGTGACACAGACAGGGACAATCTGCACCTTTGCTTGCCCATTTCCCACCTCTGCCAGACCAGAGGCTGCTCAGAGCAACAAGAAACTCAGGAAAATGCTGTTGGAAGATAATGGCTGGGCCAAAGAACTCCAGCAAAACATGGATTGGGGCATTTCTCTGTCACTGCCCGTGGGAATGGGGTTGGCAGCTGGTCCTGCTGCAGCTCCTGTGCTGGTGGTCAGGGACAGGAAACATCAACCATCCTCAAATTCACTGCCCAGAGCAGCTGGGGCTGCCCCATCCCTGCAAGTGTCCAAGGCCAGGGCTTGGAACAAGCTGGGGGAGTGGGAGGTGTCCCTGCCCAAGGTTCTTTCCAACCCAAACCATTCCATGACTCCATGACCTGCTCCTGGAGACAGGAGCATCCTCCTCCCCATCCCTCCTCTCTCAGGGAGATCCCACCACGAGCCACGCTTTGCCAGGACACAGCCCTGTCCATGCTCAGAGGGTTCACACCACCCAAATCCTGCCTGGATCCTTCCAACCTCTCCTTTTCCCTCCCTAAACTTCTCTTGGACACCAAACAGGTGGGGTTTTGTCCCAGTTCAGGGTGCCCAGCCCAGCTCAGAGCTTTGCTCCTCCCGCGTCCTCCCCCAGCGCTGGCACCGTCCCTCCCAGATGGCTCCGAGGAGCTGCTAAGCCTCAAAAATGTGCTTTTAATTAGCCAACACCACTTAATGAAGACAGCAGCTGCCCTGTTAAATCAGAGGCCGGCCTCTGGGGAGGACGGGATGGGTGTTCCTGCAGTGGTGGGGGTGCTGTGGTTCACACCCGAGGTTTGGGCTGGCCTTGGTGTCCCCCTGTGCTGCACGAGGACAGAGTTGGGAAGGCAGCAGAGAGGGAAAAACCCAGGGAAAACCAAAAAAGCCACCCCAGCACCTTGCTGGGAGCATTCCCTGCCTGTTCTCCCAGCGCAGCTTGGGGAACACAACCACTGGGATGGACCCTGCAAGGATTTGGGATTTTGGTTTGCAGACCCGGCCCTGCTCCAGGACTGGGGGGATGTACCCTGTGTCACCGTGCCATCGGCCACCAGATGCCACCAGCAAATCCTACAGCTCTGGTGGGAGTGACAACAGCAGCAGTAAATACACCCCGGGCTCCCAGGCAGCTCCTTCAGCCAAAACCAACGTTTTTAAAGGCAAAAAGGCCCCCACAAGCCATGGGGCTTGGCCAGTTCTGCATCGCTGCCATCGCCAGCAAGACCCAGCTATGACAACCAGGGAGCAAAGTTGGTTTTCTCACTGGGAAGGACCAGGGCTGGGTTTGCAGCCACCTCCAAAGCAGGCCAGGATTTAATTAAGGGACTCCCTAAAGCCTGGAGCCACAAACCGAGGACCCTGCTCCTGAATTAGCTCCATCCTCAGAGCCCGGGAGAGCTCCAGGATGGGATTCATCACCCTGCCCAAGCACCACTGGTCCCTGTGCTGCAAAAAAAGCTGCTGAAACAGAGAAAAACTCAACTCCTGCTTTGGATGATTGCAGCTTGGGAGCGATGCCGGAGGAGGAACTTCCCCTCCTGGGGCATCTCCTGCTGCAGGGCTGCCCTGCCTCCCTCCCCTCCAACCCTGCCAAGGGAACCTCTGCTGAGGGAAAACAAATGGAATGTGGTTCCGTGCAAAGGAAAACAGCCCAGAAAGCCGCGCTGAGGCGAGCGGCACCTCCTGCGAGGGCGGACGCCTCCTCTGCGGAGGAAACGCTCCTCGGTGGCAAAGGGATTGTTTCAATTTAGCTCTGGGATGCTGGGCCACGAAGCGAGGCAGTTTTGGGTTTTGTGAGGGAGAAGAGATGGGAATGGAGCTGCTCGTGGTGTTTCCTTTCCCACGGCTTCGCTCCAACGTGCACGAGGGCAACGCTGAACCGGCCTGGCACAGCCAGGAGGGAGCTGCTCTTCCTCTTCTCCAAGTTTCACAGGGAAATGCTGCTCCAGACTGGCCAAATCCCAGAAGGATCCGAGCTGGGTGGGATTTCTCCTGTCCAAGCCATTAATGGTGGTGCTGGAGTAGGTGGCTCACCTTGACCAAGGGACTGGGCCACCCCATGGCTGCGCTCCTGGGATGCCAAGTGATCCCAGTGGAACGAACCCACAGCAGTGAAATAACCCCACACCACTGAAACAAACCCACACCAGTGACACAAACCCACGCCAGTGACACAAACCCACACCACTGAAACAAACCCACGCCAGTGGAACAAACCCACACCAGTGAAATAACCCCACACCAGTGAAACAAACACACACCAATAATACAAACCCACACCAGTAAAGCCCTCACCAATAACACAAACCCACACCAATAACACAAACCCACACCAGAAATACAAACCCACACCAGTGACACAAACCCACGCCAGTGACACAAACCCACACCACTGAAACAAACCCACGCCAGTGGAACAAACCCACACCAGTGAAATAACCCCACACCAGTGAAACAAACACACACCAATAATACAAACCCACACCAGTAAAGCCCTCACCAATAACACAAACCCACACCAATGAAATAACCCCACACCAGTAACACAAACCCACACCAGTAAAGCCCTCACCAATAACACAAACCCACATCAGTAACACAAACCCACACCAGTAAAGCCCCCACCAGCCCTGTCCTACCTCACCTGCTGATGGGAACCCACACAGGGCCTCCTCCTCTCCCCTCAGCATCCCCCTGGCCCTACTGGGCACCCCAAGCTGCTCCATGGGCAGGGGTGACATCGAGAGGCAGCTGCCAGCTCTTTGTGCCCCCCAAACCCACCCCTGTGAGGGCATGGCCTGGCTCAGCACAACAGGGTGGGGACAAGACAGGGCTCTGAATGCCACCCACCCCATGCTGCACTGGGGACAGCCAAGGTGACACCTGCTCTGGCCACACGATTGGCTGGGCTGTGTTCAGGGCTCATGAGAGGCACCCTGACCCCAAAAAGGGGATCTTGCAAATCTTACATCCATCCCTGCAGACCGCCCAAAGGTGCAAATCAACCCCAAAGCGCATCCTGGAGCCCCCACACCCTGCACGGCCCAAGGGGGCTCCGGGAGGGAGGTGGCCGAGCACTGTGTGACTCATGGCAGTGCCGTGGGAGGGCACCCAGTGCCACCAGAGCCGGGCCCAGCGCCCCCCACCCTTGGCACCGTCACCCGGGGGTGCCCACCCCCTGTCCCTGAGTGTCCCCCGGGCTGTGCCACGGCAAACCGCAGCAGCTCCTTTTATTTGCAGCCCAACCACGAGGCCTGGAAGGTGCCGGGCTCTGCCCTTGCAAAGGCTCTGCCCCGGTGCCGCATCCTGCTGCGGGAGCGGGAGGGCACCCGGCGCTCCCGGGATGCGCCACAGCTCCCGTGCGCCTTCCTCCGGGCAGAACCGAGCCGGACCGGCCCGAGCCGGCCCTCCGACACCCAGCTGCTGCTTAAAAACCCGGGGTGTAGGAACAGGAAGGTCTAATCCTTCCCCGCAGCCCAGGCGCTGCTGGGATGGAGGCGCAGGATGAACCCGGGGGTGACACCGAGGGCGGTCACACCGGGGCACTGCCACAGCACGGAGCATCTGCAGGCGCCGCAGCGGGCAGATTTGGGTCGGAACCAAAGGGTAAAAGGCAAAACCAAGCGCTCACACACCCTAAAATTCGGCACAGAGACGTCCCTTCCCTGCTCGGTTTCTCTGCCCTGTGCCAGGCAGAGCGCTAAACCCAAAAGCACCCACGACCACGAGAGGATGAATTTGGGATCCGCTGGGATCCTGCCTTTAGATCCGGCATCTCGGCACACATCCAGCACTCACACGGCGCCTCCAACAGGCACCAGCCCCTTCTCCCGCTGGGATAAACCGTGCCCTTCACCCAGCGCCTGATTGCGGATCGGCTCCCGGAGCGAGGATGGGATTTAAATCAGTGCTGGCTACAAGCTACCATATATGTGCAATAAAGACACCCGAGGTCTGCCTTGTTTTGTTAAAGCCTTCGGAGACACGGCGGCGAGAGGGGGAAATTCCCTCCCTCGAGGATGGGGGGAAATTCACCCCCCAGCCCCAGCCGAGCTCTGGACACGGTCAGCACCGCGGCGCGGCCGGGGCTGGGAGAAGGTGACGGGGCTGGCGATGCCGGCTGGAGATCCTTCCGTTCCTTAAACTAATATTTAGACAGGACCCATCTCCTCCCTCCCGCGCTCCCGGAGCCGTCCCGCGCCGTGTTTGTGTTCCTGCGTGGCGGGACGGGCTCCAAGTATGAAGCAAAGTCCTGCGGCGGCCGCACAGCCCGGCCCGAGCCCGGCACGGCGCTGGGTCCCCCCGCTCCCCCCATCCCCGGGGGACCCCGAAAGGCTCCGCTTCTGCCCCGTTCGGCGCCTGCAGCATCCGACCCGCCGGGCGCGGGCGGCGGGGAATAAACAGCGGCGAAGCCCCGCGGTTGAGACCGGGGGGAAGAGGCTTCACCGGGACACCGGAGCCGCCCCCGGTGCCGCAGCGGCGGCGCGGGGCAGGAGCGTCCCGGGCCGGGCAGGTGCCCGGGGCCGGCGCTGCCGAGCCGGGGCCGCCCGCGGCGCTTACCTGGACGCCGGGCCGGTGCCGGTGCGCAGCGCTCAGCGGCGGCTCCGTGCCGGGGCCGGGGCACGCGTGGGGCCGGGGGTCGCCATGGGCGAGCGGCTCGGGGCTGGCGCGGGTCTGGCTCGGCTGGAGCGCGGCGGGGGGGCTCGGCCACCGCCTCCTCCCGCGCCGGGGGGCGGGTTTGGAGCCGGCCGGTTCCCCCGCCCCGCCCGGTCCCGAGCCGGGCTGCGCTCCGGTGCCGCTGCCGGTGCCCGTCTCGCCCCGGTGCGTCCCGGTGCGTCCCGGCGCCGCTGCCGCTGCCGCTCCCGCCCCGCAGCCAGACGAGTCCGCGGCTCCCCCGGAGGAGGCACCGGCTGCTTCTCGCAGCGGAGCCGACGGGGCCGCCCGGCCCCGCCCCGGTCCCTCCCGGTGCCGCCCCGGTCCCTCCCGGTGCCGGTCCCGCCCCGCCCGGGCTCAGCCAGACGCGCCGACACTGCCCCGGTGCTGCCAGCCCCCAGCCCCGGTTCTGCCCACGGCATCGCCCCGGTTCGCCACCTTTGCACCCCTGCACCCGGTGCCCGCCGCGGGCAAGGACCAGCCCGGGCCCGGTGCCCAAATCTCCCCTCGCAGCGGCACGGAACGTCCCCGGGCACGGGCGCATCCCTCCCTGGTTAATCGGGGGCATTTTGAAGCCGGTCTGGGCAGGGCACGGCGGGGCTGTCAGCAGCTTTCTGACGCAGCCACCTCTGGGTTTCCATCGGGGCTTTCCCCACCCGGGTTTCACAGAGTGAGGGCGGCGGGGTCGCTGCTTGGCACGGGACAGGCTGGAGGTCGATGCCAGCTGGACAGGCTGATGAGTGCCAGGGAGATGAGCAGTGATTTTGTGCTTTCTGTGCGAGCACCAAATTGCTTGGTTGGATTCATGAGATCGTTGGGTTGCCTAAGCTGGAAAAGCCCTCTCAGATCATCGGGTTCAGCCATTCCTCCACCCCTGTCCCCAAGGGCCTCTCCTGCACATCCCTTACATCCCTCTGTGGTGACTCCACCATGGACAACCCTTCCAGTGAAGAAATGGCCTTTAAGGCCCCTTCCAACCCAACCTTCCAAGTCCAGTCATTCCAGGATTCCATGAGAATTGCTGAGGAGAGGCAGCAGGCCGGGAGGTTCATGGAGCTGCTGATCCTGCAGCATCTCCCGTGGCCATGCCACATCTCCCGTGGCTTTGGCTCCTCTCCTCGCTCTCCCACCTGGAAATCAGGAATGTGCTTTGCAATGTGAGCGCTGGAGATGCTGAAGAGACCCCCCAAAAAAAGGCAAATCCTGCTTTGAGAGGGGTGCAGGTGCCCCTTGGAAGGAAGGCCCCATTTCCAGAGGCTGCTCCTGGCACGGGGATGCTCAGGGAGTCAATGGCTGTAGGAAACAGAGGGATCAGAGTTTAGAGAGGAGAGACTTCACGCTCCCTAAATGCCTGGCTCCTTCCTTCTCCCATCTCCCCGGTGTTTGTTTTTGCAAGTATTAATACTCTGGGACTGTTTCCTTTAGCACATGTCGGGGCTGGAGGGGTTCACCGAGGGCTCTGGGATCTGGGTGACCTTGGCCCATCAGGACACCTTCCCAGGAGTGATCCAAGGGGCCTGACGCAGCTCCCCACAGCCCTGGCAGGAGCCAAAGACCCCCGGCTCCAGCTCAGGGTGCTGCTGGTGGCGTGGGCAGCAGCGCTGGGTGCCGTGGCTCTGCTCTCTGGCACAAGGAGGGTTCACCTGGACGCGTCCAGCTGCTCTGGGACAGCACTGCAGGACCCCCTCCTGCTCCACAACCCTCGGGAGGCAGCAGTTGTCCTGCCAAAAACCCCAGTAGCTGCTAAACAAACAACTTAATGCAAAGCAGCCTCGGCGGAGAAGGAGCGAACGTGCCCAAGGAAGCGTCGAAGCCATTACGGAGCCGCAGCAAAGGCAGCGCAGCCTGGTACAATTTGCAACTTTTGTTTTAATTAACGTTTTGCTAATGATGTGTGTAACACGGCTGGTGATAGGCAGCTTCCATCGATCCCCCGGTGTTTGCTCAGAGCCCAAAATGTCAGCCTGCCTGCCGGTCACGGTGTTGGGATCGTCCTGGCTCGATGATCCCTGTGGGATCTGGGGAATATTCCATGATCCCCACACCTCACCCTGCTGTCTCTAACCGGGATGGTATCAGCACCGAAATCACAAAATCCAGAGCGTAACGGGGAGCTTCTGGCTGGTGGAGGAGGTTTGGGAGCCGCTCCTGTTTGGCTTGGCTGCCTCTCCTTGACCAGTCAAGCCACCCTTGATCCAGCGGGATTTAGAGCATCTCCAAGCTGGATGTTTGCAGGCTGATCCTGGAGATTGCCCTCTGCTCTCCCCGCGTTTGCTGCTCTCAGCCCGGTGACACCTCCTCGCGCAGCATCCTGAAAAAGCCCCAAGGAGCCCCGGATTCCCGGTCCTGGCACAGGGGAGGGATGTGCTGCAGGCTGGTGGGACCCAAGGCGAGGGGGATCGCACACGGGATCCAGAGGGGATGTTGTGAACCGCCGGAATGGAGTGAGGGATCGGGACCAGGCGGGAAATCCGCGGTACGGAATGTCACGGGCAAAACCCACGAGGAACAAGTGTCCGTAAACACCGAGGGGGGAAATCTAAGCAATTAAGTCATTTGAAATGTCAAATAGCCCATGGACCCCACATTTGGACATGACAGATGAACGAAAACATAGACATTAAAAATTCCTGAAAACTAACAAAGGAACTATGATTAATTTCCCTCTGTTCCAGGGCAATCGCATTATATACACACAAAGGAGTCATAAAAATTCCAGGATGACGGAACAAAATCCTTCCAGAGCTCCACAGATAAAATACAACCATACTGGAGGGAGCTGGAATGGTCCAGGGAAGGAGCAAGCCTGGGGTGGCTCCCACATATCCCTTTGGATAAAAGGCCTTTCCCAAAGGATGCAGCTACGAGGTGACACCTGCTGAAAGTGCTGCAGGACACGGATGTCCTGTCCCAGCTGCGCGTGGGACAAATCCTTCTTGGTGACAGCAGCAGGTCCCTCGAGGTCCCTGCGAGGAGCCACACGTGGGATGAGCTGGGCTTGGTGAAATCCCAAGGAATTTGGGATGCGGGTGCATCAGAGGTGGCACAAACAAGGATGGTGTAAGAATGGGCAGGAAGGAGGCAGGGAAAGGAATGGGCTCAACACCCTCCTGTGCCACGGCCAACTTCAAACCCCTGCTGAGTCCCAAGCGCCGGAACAGAGCGTTTAGGAAGGAGAGAAAATGAAGGGATAAAGTCAAATCCTTGCAGCCCAAGAGGCAGGCGGCTTCCTTCAGTTCAGAGGGAGATATTCCAAACCAAAACCACAAAGAAAATATCATTAGAAGAGGCCGCAGTGTTGCTCGGTGACTTGTTCATTGGCTTTTTGTGGGATGTTTTTCATCAAATCCGGCTGTGGAGTCTGCAAAATTAATTAAGGAGGGGGCTGAGCGGTGCCAGGGGCTGAGGGGGGGTTTAGGGAGGAGAAAAATCCCCTGAGAGCAGCAAAGCCCAGCTCTGCAGGGAGCGTCCCCTGGGACAGGCAGCAAGCAGGGATCGGGGTCGCAGCATCCCAACATGCCAGCATCTCCTGGAACGCTGCATCCCGAGCAATCCCATCCTCGCTGGGAGCTGCAGCCCGGCCCGGGGCTGCTCATAATTCACTGCTCGGCAGCCCCGAGCGGTGACCCGGCCGTGGGGACTCATTCCCGCATCCTAATGGGCCGTGAAAGTCCGGCACGCTCGGGACACCCCGAGCCCTGCCTGGGAAAAACCGGAGAATAATAATAATAATTTTAAAAAATGAGGGGATTGTGGCAAAATGGTGCGAAATACCCAAAAAGCAAAGAGAGGCTGAGACAGGGCGCTGCCGTGTGTCCCCGGGCTGTCCCGGTGTCCCCGCCTGGCCCTGGCAGGTGACGGCAGCAGCTCTTTCCTCATCCCAAACCCCGATTTTCCAGCCAGGAGAGGTGTGCCGGGCGAGAGCCATGGCAACTCTTACACAGAGCGTCAACAAAAATCAGCTAAATAATGATTTTCTCCTTGAAATCCCCGGGGGATGGGGGAGGGCTCCGGGCCAGCTCTGCCGGCCATAAAAAAGGCTTTAAAATTAATTTTTTTTTTCAGTGGATGCTGAAGAGGAGCTAAGGGGACACCCTGCTCCAGCTCAGCCACATCCCAGCCTGCGGGAGCAAGAGCAGGGCACGGATATCCGGGCCAACACAAGTCCATGGATGTCCCACTCCCTGCCCTTGAGCCGCCTCACCCCCTCTGCAGCAGCTAAAACCAGCTGGATTTTGGAATCCAGCCTGGATAGGTGGGAGAGGGACACCTTGGATTAATCCTTTATTTAATTTTTTTTTTGCATACATCTTGAAAAAATAATTTTATTTTCAACCCAAATTAAGTGGTATCCAAAAACTTTTTTTTTCTTTTTTTTTTTCTTTTTTTTTTTTCCCTTTGATAATGGAAAAATTCAGCTCGGAGGCAGCTTTTGGAGCTGGATGGGAAATTCTCCTGCGGGGAACAGTCCTCCACCTTCCTCCCAGCAAAGACAACCCTCCCGCCTCGCCGCTCAGCAGGGACTCAATTACACATATGAGGCTGACCCAGCTAAAAGAAGAGTTTGACACAAAATTGGGAACCTGCCAAAAATAAAATAAAAAAAAAAATTAAAAAATTCCTAATTGAAAGTGGTTCCTGCAGTGGGGTCTGTGCACGGCGACCCCTTCTCTGTCACTGTGAGTTACGAGCACTCTCCATCCTGTTTTTATGATTCCCTTTTCCTCCAGCCCTGGGCACGCTCTGGGATGCAGGAGAGCGGTGGCTCTGCCTTTTTGTTTTGTTTTTTTGTTTGTTTTTTTTTTTTCCAGATCCATCTCTTTCCTTGGAGCCACGCTCTGGAGCATGAACAGATTAAAAGTTCAAGCTCTAATAAACTGAGTCCCCAAAAGCAAAGTTTAGGCAGGGGAACAGATGGGATTTCCAGGATCGTGGTGTCCTGCACCTTCTCCGTGTCCCCGTCCTGATGGGATGTTTGGAAGGGATGGGAACACGGAGATTTTGGGGGTACAAAAGCCAGGGGGGGCTGAGAGAGGCGAGACAAGCCCAGAAGTGCTGTCACATCTCATTTCTCCCATTGTCACCTGAGCTCGGCCGTGGGGCAGCCCCAAAAATGAATTTTGGGGGGGATTTTGCCCCGGGGCTGCGCTGCGGAGCTGCCACAGCCACTGTGCAGCATCCTGCTGCTGCCGGGGCATCTCC